CTACCAGTAATAACACTAAATGACGATGATTCATAAGAGACTAAGTTCTCAGTTTACTGCTCGAGTAAACAAGTAAGGGTCTGTTATTTAGGGAGTAGTGAGTGACAGAGTCATTTTGGACACAGCCTGTGTTTGCACCCAACACAATCCCCTGGCACTTTCATTTCAATTAGAAAATACATCAAGTGGGCAGATGCTTCAGTTTATGATGAGACCCTGTCAGTTAGATCAGTTTATGAGGGTTAACCCCTATAAATAGCAGTCATTCAGAGGTCCCCCATAGGGAGCCACAGACAGGGCATTAACTGGTTGTATGAAAGCAGAGACGTAATATCCTTCAGCCCGGATGATAGCTGGCTGACAGGAAAGCCTGTGCACGACTCCAAGCAACAGCAATGGATTATAACTAAGAGATGGAACTTAAAATGATTGTTGTCCCTCTGCTTGAACTTAAAAGCTGAACTAAAAGTTTTATTTCTTACAGTATGTGTAACAATAGTAGTGCACACTGGGGCTAGTTGGCACACTTTTCACACTCACAGTCATATTTCTCTGGCAGAATATTCTAAGTGAAGCAGTAAAGCAGTAAATTGTGTTTTGAAATCATGCTGTGGGTTTGTGCCAACCAGCCCCATCACGGGGCACACAGATTTGGTTAGCACAATGTTAAAAAAATGAAGCAACAAATTGAGACAATTTGAACCTTTAATTCAAACAAGAACCACAAAACATGAACATTTAAAAGAATACTTGCCTATTTTTAACATTTTTAATCAATTCCTCTGTATGGTTGCCATTACTTTTAACCATCTTTGACCCTTCAAATTAATAATTATTAACAACTGTCAATACATTGTTTTTAATCTTTCAGAAATAGTCTCTCAAAATACCCCAACAAAAATATATATTAACAGTTACAAGTTAATAAACAAGAAAACTATTAAACTTGGTGAAAGAAAACATAGTGCCAGCCAACCCTGCTCACATTTTACCAAACTTTGTGATGAAATTATGTTAGCCAGCTACCATCACTCATCACAGACTTGTATCAAAATGTAGTTGATTTCTATGTCTATTAACTAGAATTAACACATTCCCATATGTCTAACATGGTGTTATAATACATTTACTCCACAGACCACTTTTTTTAACATAGTAGATGAGCACAGACCAGAAAAATAGCTTGGTGCCAAACAACCCAGCCTCCCCTAACTGTAAATTGTATTATAACCTCTTGAGTTTGATCACCGTTATCTTCCATTCCAACAGAAATACAAAAGCAAATATGGAAAGTGAGCTGAATTCATGGCTTTATTCTTGTTCTGTATGGTGTGTTCAAGTGCTGATGTACAGTTGGTATGTTCTGTTACATAATTGACATCCACACATGAAATAAGCAGTGGGAGGCACTGGGAGTTTCAGTGTTATTTTATTGTGAAAACATCGGACAGATGAACCGCAGGTCATTCTGCTGTAGGATCGACACCACTCTCAGTGTACAGTACACAGTCAATTATTCATGATTTCAGCGAGTGCGCCTGAAAATGAACTGAGTAAGACAGAACAGTGAGTGGCTGTCCCGGGAGGAAATGAGAGATGCAGAGAGTTTAGGTGTGTTGCCATGGTGATAGTGAGGAAGGAGTATGGGTAGTTGTCTGAGAATAAATAAATAAATAAGTGGCGCCTGTTTGAATGAGAGTCACGCCTTCCTCGAGGACGCTCCCTCTGAGGCAGAGTGGGTACAGCACAGAGTGTCCACACACACACACACACACACACACAAACACCACCCACACACACTCATGCAGCTCTCATCCAGCCGCTCCACCTGTAGTTACAGCACATGAGGCACTCTGATACACACAACGGTGAAAAATGCTGATGACATGGTATAAATTCAGTAACAGACACAGCTGATTTGGGACTCATTCCTCAAAAGGTCACACATACACATTACCGTACAGGTTACAGCACAACATCCACACCATCTGGAAAGACATGAAGCTGTTGGAAACACTCAGGAGATCAGAGGGTGTGTGTGACCCCTGCGCACTGAAGGAGGACGTACAAGATGTCAGGGCAACACAGAGACACATAAAACCTGGCAGGCCCACCAAGGCCACAGCCACGCTAATGTGGACAAATTTGACAAATGCAGGTAAAATGTGATAATAAGCCTTCCACCCACACTAATTTATCAAAGAAAATGAGTTAAATGTGTTCCACAAGGAACTTGCTCTGAAAACAACAAGGACTTTTCAAAAATGGCAGAGATCACATAAAGCAAGAGGATCATTTCAGACAGGCTATAAACAAGCTGACATGTTATCTAAAGCACTTCACTCTGAGGTAAAACTGAAAGGTAACACAACAAAAACAAACCAACCGTCAAGCCAGATTATCTAAACCCTAAGTTCACAAGGAAAAGGTGTGCAGGTAATACTGTAGGTCGAATTTAAAACCCAGAAGTAGGCCTTTTCAATCGGACATTGTATTCATTTTAGGCGAGTTATTGTTGGGAAGCTGTGGTAGCTACTAGGAATAACTAACATTTTTCAAGAAGAATGAAAAGATACTGTCATGTACGCATTGTCATTATTTTCCATGAATGTACCTAGGTAGCTAGCTAGCTTTGTAGAAAGAACCCTGTCAACAAAGGTCTGTGTTTTGGAACCAAACTATGTAGATTAATCTCTGTAAACATATATCTGCACATGAATGCAGAATCTGTAGGCAAAGAAGGATCTTGTTCTAGTTTCTATTTGTAGTCTGTTTGTTGCTTTGCTTTGGTGGGTACAGTGTTATCTGTCACTGATGTCCAAATTTGGCAAATGGAAGCCAAGTTGTAATTAATGATATATTTTAAGAAGGCTCCTTTAGGTGATTTCTACCACACCATTTTTTGTCATTTACAGGGTAAGTGCAAAGAAAGAGAGGGGGTGCCAGAAAGTCAGGAGAGCTTTAAAAATGGATCACATGACAATTACACTAAAACATTGTTGTGAAGATCCATTTTCCCTAAAACAGAGAACATTCCCAAGAAGAAAAGGAGGTTCAAATGTATCCACATTGGTGTGAACATGACCTGAGAGCCTCAGGAGCTTTCCTCTGCTCTCTGCCTGTCTCGGTGCGGTCACATGGGCCTCTGCAGGTGCACAGAGCAGTGTGTGTGTTGACTGCAGCGAGGGGATTGTCATGTGAGAAGTGTATTTTAGGAGTGTGAATGGAGTTGTCTTCAAGTAAAAAACACACCCTTACAGGTGTTACTGAATGCGTTGCATCCTGTGTTCTTCAAATTAAAACTGATTGTGGTGCTTCCTGTGGCAAAGGGTGCTGATGGTTGTCTGATCTCTCTGCTGTTGTGTGGTTGTTTAGAAGAGCAAGGGGAAGGGAGCTAAAAACAGCTTCTCCTATCAGAAATGTTAAAACTCAAGTGCAGCTAGAATAAAGATTTGCACTGTAAAAAAATAAAAAGAATTCCTCTTTTGTGCTGTAAAGTAATCCAGCAAATCTAACATCTGAACCCAAACATGTAATGCAGTGTAGAAGCTGCTATAGGCAGACAGTCCTCAACCAAAGGAATGAATAATCACTGTGTGTGTGTGTGTGTGTGTGTGTGTGTGTCAGTATGGAGGAAGGCCTAGGTGACCACAGAGAGAAGGTGCTCTGAATCGTTTTTTAGCGGCTCTGTGTTGCTGCAAATGAAAGGCACAGTTAAACAAAATTGCAGCACAAATGTAGTGTGTGTGTGTGTGTGTGTGTGTGTGTGTAAGTGTGCGAGACAAGTAGAGTAATTGATCGATCAAACATGAGAGCTCAAAAACAACAGCAGAATGAATGACATCATGTCTACACTGTACAAAAACATCCTGCACTGGGACTGTATATGTGAGAGATGAACCCGGCAGAGAATGAGAGGCTTTGTCCCTCTGTGCTGATGACATGAGATATTTTCAAATATTGTATTTTTGCCACCAAAAAGGAACCAAAAGAAAACCCCCAAAACTATAGAAACCGTTTTTTCTTTATTTTTGTTTTAGAAGATTTATCTCATGCTCCCGTCTGTCTGTGAAATGTGAAGCTACAGCTAGCAGCCGGTTAGCATAAAGACTACCACTAACAAAAATGAGATAAACATCATCATCATCCTCATCAGATAAAAATGTATTTGCCTAAATACTTTAGATTCCTAAATATTCCCATCAGTCTCAGCTGTACTTTTATATATAGTGTGGATGAACATGGTAAACATTTTATCTGCTATACATCAGCATTTTAGCATGGTCACTGTGAGCCTGTTAGCATGCTGACATTAGCATAGCCCAAATCTCTGCTGTGTGTAAGTATAACCTCCTCAAGCCGCTAGCATGGCTGTAGACTCTTAGTCTTGTTTTACCTTTGGTCAGAGCCAGGCTAGCTGCTCCAGTCTTTATGCTCAGCTAAGCTAACTATCTTCTGGTTGTGGCTCCATGTTTAACAGATATGACAGTGGTATCAAAGAAGCGCATTTCCTAAATTGTCAACTATCCCTTTAATTGGTAATGATATGTACCTGCTATGACTCTATGCTTTACTGAATATAAAATGTGTGCTAATCTGTGCATAAACAACAAAATAAAGCGTAAGCACAAATCACATAATCCTCTTTGAGAGAAATACTCCCTCAGATATATTTAGAAGCCTTCCTGTGTTCTTTCAGCAGTACAGTAAACAAGTAATTCAGTCTGATAATAGACATCGTTCAAAAACAAAATAAATATATACCTGCTGGCTTGACTTGAATATGAACACACCTACAGTATGAGAACACTGGGCAGTGTACAGGCCTGGATTTATGCAGACGGAGAAGTTAAGAATAGGGACAAAAGTACTCCAAATGCGGTTGTTTGTTTTTTTCTAAAGGCAGAAAATCATCCAGGGCCTCTCGGTGCTCGCTTAGTTCCCCGTAGGGACTTTTTTACCGACTCTGTTTGCTTAAGCAGGCTGCCCTTTTCCTGCAGGAACGGTAGGGATCATTGACAGTGACTTGCTTCTGTTATTTTTTTTATACAGGAGGCCACTCTTAGAGGTGGGAGAGTAGAAAGAGAGGCCTCTGTAATGGCTTGTTTTCAGGCTAAGAAGTCCTTTGTGTATCGTCCATCTTCCATTCTGGGGGTTAAATGAGCAGTTTAAGCCGAGGCTCAGTGTGTTTAAGTGGAGAGGTGCTGCCCGCCCGTGCCTCTGCTTACAACTGCTGAGTAAGATGCTGCGTGGCATCAGCATCAGCAGGAGTGCTAATGTGCAAGCTGAGTGTGTGTGTATTTTTGTACGCCTTGTCCCAGGAGGAGGCCGTGCTGAGAATATAGCCATTGTTTCTTTAGGAGGACGACGGTCGGGGCTACAGGCCAGGCCAGTAGCTTTTCTCCTTTATTAGAGCCAGATGTGTGAGTGCGGGTAAAAAAAACCAAGGCTGTTCTCTCATTATAACCCACACGTACACAGTAATAATACTTCAAAAGCTCCAGGAAGAGGTTTGCAGCTAAAAATGAAATATCTGTCTATTTATAATGTAAGATTTGGTCATCACACCTTTGTTATGCTGACATTTCATTCACAAGCTTCATTCTAAAGACATGGGGTCACCACTAGACACAACGTTATAGTGAAGTGGACCTGGATCTGATCCATTAAAACATGCATTGCAAAACTGTATGTTTACAAAATGACTTTAAATGTGACACCCCAGTTATTAATTATTGCACTTCCAAAAAACTGTTGTGTAAGTAGATTTAGGAAAGGAGTAGTCCTGAGACTTAGACTTAAGGCTTTTAGTCTTTAGTATAACTCAAGTTACTTAAACACTGAATCCAGCATGTCCCATAGTGTAACCCAAAAGTGTCTTTAGTTAGTTGATATGCACCAAGTCAGCATCAGCTGACAAAATGAAGGTCTTAAAACTAGATTCAGATACAGGGCCCCTCTTTTACTTATCACATTTACATAATACTACATGTGTATATGTCTGTCCTGTTTTTCCCTCGTTTCCCATTAAAGTGTTTTTGTTACTTTTTTACGGAGTTGTTCCTTCTCCAAACTAAGGGTCTACAGATACATAGTGTTATACTGTGTGTTATTGTAAAAGCCCTTGAGATATATTTGTGATACTGGGCCATTTAAATAAAACTGACTTGACAGGGTCTCAACCAGGACCCACGTTAAGGCCCTTATCATCCAATTATCCACCCATTACCTATACCTGTTTATCCTTTTTAGAGGTTTGCCGGGGCTGCAGTCCTAGCTTACTCTGGGCGAGAGGCAGGGTCCAGTTTATATTGTGCTTTAGTAATACATATTTCCATATTCCCCAAACAAAGTTCAACTGATTTGTGGTCAATTACCACAAATCAATTCCCAGTGAACAGTGACCCTTGGGCTTTCAGGGACCACTAAGGTTCTGGGGCCCCATGGCAATTGCTGGCTTCTTTATATTATATTATATTATATTATATTAATAGGACTTAACATTAGATTCTAACAGGGCCAAGTCAGGGCCTCAAGATTAAAGACCCACTTTAAGGCCCTCATCATGTCAGTTGATCCTGCACTTCAGTTGGTACAATTAATTAAATTACCACAAACCTGCCAGCCTTGTCTAGCAGTATTACAGAATCAGCAATTTCTCTACACCGAATTTGGTGAGTCAAATGTTATCATTATCAGCAGGAATGATGGACAAAACTACATTAATAAAACCTGAATTTTCCTTTAAAAACTAGGGTTAGGTTAGTTAGTATTTCTGATTATGATTATGATTCTGACACAGCATGAACAAATGCATACCAAAAATCTGATTTCAGGATTCTGTCAAGTGCAACAAAGAGATGCTGCCTTTCAGAAAAATGTTTCCTTCACTTTGAAGCCGGAGTGGATTTGAATTTACAAAGGGGTGTAAAAGACAAAATGACTCTGTCTCTCCCTCTCTCCCTTCTGTATAATGCTTACACAACAGACTGTAATCCAATTCACAGCGTGATGGAGAGTGCAGTTATTAACCTTGACATTGCTTAACGTGGCTAACATTAATCACATTACAGTATGAGATATAGCCTCTGATGCTGTGACGTGGGCAGTAGATTGTTGATATGTACACTGAGAGTAGCAGCTAGTTCTTATGTTCTGCTTGGGAAGTGTTGGATATAGGGGCAAAGATTTACTCTGAACACAGAGTGTGGATCTCTGAGGCGCTCACAGCCATTTTGGCACCAAATATTTGACAACAGGAAATGTAAAATAAGCCAGAAATCTCTGATGATCCCAGACACAGAAGGACAAAGCCATGGGCTAAAATGTACCTTACACCCTTTAAAAATGAAAATGCTGTGATGCACTAATAATGTATTGGAGGCAAAAAGAAATCAACATGACAAAAAGAAACTCTTAACAACAGTTTAACTTTCTAAAATGTTCCTCAGCCCAGGAAAGAAATTAAATCTTTCTCTCTTTAATCAACAAAACAAATTAAATAATATTTTTCTATTGCTGCTCGCAGCATTATTTCATAAGACAATAAAAACAAAAATAAGCAAGAAGACAAAAGGATAATCTTAATTTACTGAAACACTTTTGGTCGTCGGAGTAGGGGCTTTGTGGGTGTGGCCCTGGGTGTGTCCACTGAGCCCCTAGGTTGGGCACGGTGGGGCACAGCAGGGCGGGGTTATGAGATCCAGTGCCTTTAACCCTTTCACAACCACAAAGGCTGTCTCTTTTCTTTTTAGCTCAGACTTTCTGTGCAGACTCTTAGTGCACCCACGCACTTGGGAGCATCCTGTACCGTTCTAACCATGTCCTGTAGCTCAAAGTGTTAAGGATGCTTGGTGTTACAGGCAATGATTTATTAAGCACTTCCACACTTTACTGCTGCAACAGGAGTCTCCGTTTTCATGGGGTCCGCCTGTTGTAACACAAGAGGTCCCATCTGCTAACATCATAATTGTAGAGACCAGTGAAAACTTGTGTTATTACAACCTGTCGCTGAAGGCCATGTCACCACAGTTACAGTTGTAGAGGTCTTGAGAGTGAAGTCAGTATTCATCTATTACAGGGCGTCCTTGAGGCGGTGATAAGCCAGTTTCCCTCTGAAATGTATAAATCTAATGAGGGCAAGGGTGATGGGTGCTGGCACACCGCGCTGACAGCGCAGCGAAGGACATGAATTGTGTTTTACAATTTGACGGAGTTTCTCTATTGATCAGGGGTAGGGGAGATAAGCTTAGCTCCCACGATGCATTGGGGTCAGGGCGCGTGCGAGGCCACTGTTTGCTTTGTAGAATCTGAAGCAGCCTAATTCGTCAGCAGTTTGTTTAAACATGTAGAGAACATCATCAGGAGAATCCCCTCTTCAAGTCTGTCCTTTGAGGATAAGTTCCCCTTTTAAAACACCTTGAAGACCTGCTTCACCCACACATTTTAGTCTTTGCATGCGTTTGGTTCATTTAGCCCACATTCTCATCCAATCAGCACTCTCTGTATCACCCAGAGTTGACTGGACATCCACACACCTTTCTCTCTTTCAGCACCTGTTTATATGTCTATTTCAGACCCCACGCCTGCGTACGACAACAGTTTTTTAAATCAAGTTTGCTTCCAAAGAATTCCGCCTTTCACTCAATTTGCCTCTCCTTGAACAAGGCAGCCATTCTCAGAGTCACAGCTCTGTCCTCCATTAGTCCAGCCGGAGGTAGCTGGGTGTGGAGTAGTTGAACATGAGGAAGTCCAACTTGTAAAGCTGGTAGAGTTGGAACTGCTGCTGAGTGCTGATATTGCTGAAGAACTGGGCTGTCATGGCATCTGTTGTACGGGTGGACTTGGCGTAGCTCGGGAAGCGCAAGGAATCGCCAACACCCACCAGCCGCAACACGTAGTTTGCGTCTTCTTCCAGCGTCTCGTACTTGCCCACCAGGTCATAGTGGATGTGACATGGGTGACAAAGCTGGTAGACAGTCTGCCAGTGCTCATTGAGTGGGCCGTCACGCTGCGTGGCCGGGTCCACCAGGTACTCTGCGAATTCTTTGAATTTGACGTCAGCACCGTTGAGCAGGGCGTCCTGCGTGGCGTTCTTGCGATAACGTCGGATGATGCGGGTGCCGAAGCGCTTGTGGAAGGACGAGTTGTACTTGAGGGTGAACTTGTTGCGGTATGCAGAGACCAGCCTCTCGAAGGGCTCGCGAACAAAGAGGAACTTGAGGTAGTTCTTGAGGCGGTGGTTGATCTCAGCAATACTGTACTGGTTCAAGGTCTTTAGGTTGGAAGGAATGTGGGCTTCATTAGAAGGGATTTCCATTGGGTCACTGTGGAAGAGAGGCACAAGGACGTTGAGGAACAACAGCAAAACAAATCTGCATTCACAGTCTTCTACCATCGAAAACCTTCAGTGTAATGAGGGCAGCATGCTGGAATACTGTATAACACGATACAATACATGCCCTGTATTTGTCACAGAGCAATAAAAAGGGGAATGAATGGCCCCCAGTACTCTCTAAGCCCTTTTACAGTAACAGTCTGCCAGGCACAAGACTCACCTGTATTTGCCCCGGCCTGTGAGCACCATCATGACGCGTTTCCAGTTGGTACAGGCCACCTTGGGAACATAGCAGTAGATGAGCTCATGGTCCTCGTCCACCACAAGGTGTTTGAGGTCTCCGGGTGTCAGGACTCTGCGCTTACGGCTGGATGCACTGTAGACTCGACAGGCATCCACTACCTGATCCCTCCTGGCCTGGTGGAGGACGGCTGCTCCGGACAACTCGGGCTGGTCAGGGAAAGATGGAGAAGGAGGGAGTGGGGGAGAGAATGAGACTTGAAATTTAAACAAAAGGGCTTTCAGGAGGTAACTATCTGTAGATAAAGATCTATCCTGTTTTTTTTGCATATTAACACATTATTTTTACAGATCAGAGGTTTGTGAGAAAATTATTTCCTGTCTCTATAGTCTTTTGTTGTCTTTACACCTCTTGCCATATGTGTTACTGTATAATTTCTTTGGCAGTATAAGGAAAATCTTACTGTGCCAATAAAGCACTCTAAAATGAATGAAACTGAATCAAGGCAGAAATAGGGATAGAGAGAGATGGAGAGAGATAGAAGACAGGCAGACAGACAGTTCGAGAGAGTTATTAATCTCAGCCTTTATTATTATACTCATCTCTTTATTGACTCTATCTTTTCCCCCTATCTGAGTCGCTCCACAGGCTATGAATGAGATTAGTCCACGGGTATGGAAGAAAATAATGATATTGGAGGATATTACAGATATTGAGTGTTCAATATGCACAGATCCAGTCAGCAATCATTCATCTCAGGCATATTTCATATTCACCATGACGCTTGTGATGAAGTGGACCATGGTGGGAGGGAAAGGAGGAGGCTGGGAAGGAATTAAAAGGTGGAGAAAAGCCTAGGGGGTTTTGCATCTGAAGGGCAGGAATGTTTTCTTGTGCTTCTTGATTATTTTTCCTCTGGGTCTGAATTCCCCTCCAGGGCAGTGCCCCGGTTTCCTCGTGGAATCTAAATTGATTGTACTGTGGCGTGTATCTTTACCACTCCATCCCACTCACAAGTGTGGCCTTTCAGTGCTACACTGACCAGGGCTGAGAGGGAGGGAAAGCTGCTGACATTAAATGCTGAAATAACTCAGGGACCACCACCAAGTGCTATATACGAAGACAGTTGGTTTGTATGTACGTATTTCTCTTTGAAGTCACTCGAATTTATCATGTGCATGGCTTGCTACAAGGACATGGCAGTCTCTAAGGAAACAGTCAAACACATGACCTTAAAATCAGAGATATTTCTAAATAACGTCTGTAAAATGTATTTTTCACTATCTCAGTTAGCTCCATTGGATAGTCATGTAAAAATCAATTGAAGGAAGGGTTTTTCCCACTGTGAATTCACATTTTTAATAATATTTACCACAGAAACGCACACTGTATGAGTCATGTATCAGTTGGTTAGGCAGTTCGTTTTTGTAATTTATAGTGAGTTTGGGTATTGCTATGGAAAGGAACCATGACATCTGAGTATATTAAAAACACTACTTATGAGTATTCAGGAACTATGCACTGTATTGCTAAATGAATCCAACAGGCTGAATTGGTTTTACTCCACAAATCTGGAGACTTTCATGTACAGTCTTGAAACTTGTGTGCACACATATGGATCTTGCACCCACCAGATGATGATTTGTGTACACAATATATGTATCTTGTTCCCACAAGATTGCGCCCGCAACTTAAAGGACCAGTGTGTAGGATTTAGTGGCATCTAGTGGTGAAGTTGCAGATTGCAACCAACTGAAATTATCCAGCGCTCTCAACAGTCTGTCTAAGAGAAAGCTACTAGTGGCCCGACAGAAACCTGAACGAATAACACACCAAAGGCGCCTACTACTCTATTACCGTCACAACACATAGTCAACAGACTCCCATACCAGATCAATAGTATATGATCCCCCATACTGGCTGCGTAATATCTAAAACAATGGAGATTCCAAACATGGCAACGACATCTGTAAAAATCAGCAGGACTGCTCCCTATCTGTCAACGTAGCTACAAAACTCATATACTAACTCACACTAAAACACAACAATCTCCTTATTTTCAGGGGATTAATGAAACATAACCTAAATACGGTACATACATATCTATATCTTCCACCCTCTCTGTCAGGTCGAACTTCCCAAAACATGATACACTGACTTTAAAGAACAATCATGTTAGAATTTGGTATTTACAATTTGGCACCCTACCAGTTTGTTGCAATTCACTTATACACCACATCGCCTGGCTCGATCCAGCCAGCACTCCCTGCTGACTCCTCCCAAACCCTGGGCCTAAAAACCTACACTCCCCCCGGTGCTCGCAGGCTCACTAAAGAGCTAACTAGCGATGGAAGCTGATTACAGTTACGGGTAACCCTACTTCAGCAACAACAATAGTAGCTTTCTTGGCATCAGAACTCCATAATCACATGAAATAGGCATTTGCTGAAGTTGGTGGTGTGACCTCTTTTGGCTGTAAAGGGTTACTACACTTCTCCGACCCGGCAACCAAAGTTACACAGTCAAAACAGCATTTCAGGGCAAAAGAAGGGAATGACAGACTCACTATTACAATCCAAAGTCATGCTTGTGTATTGTGAAACTGTTATTTGAAGGTAAATGGTGCATAATGGTCTTGGTTAATGAATAATCAGCTTGTTTGCACAACACCTTGGATCTTGTTCACACAAGATTTGTGCCCAACACAATATATATATATATATATATATATATATATATATATATATATACTTTATGACTTTCTTTATTTCTTTGAAAGCATTGATGCAGATGCTGACTTCACACCTCCATGTCGTTACATCTGCTTTCACCTTTTAACACTCTTTCTATATCGCTTTTTTCAAACCTCATTTCAACCTCACCTCGCCTTTTCCCGTCATATCAAACAGTCCTTTAAAGCATTTTGAAGGATGTGTAAATTGACAAGGCATGATGGATTTTGAACATCTCTGCTTGAGAAGAAGGCCTCATTTTGCCCCCCCTACTTCTCTCTTTGTGCTCCCCACTCCTCCCTATTCATGTGCTGACACATCAAAGCCCACTAAGGCGTAACAGCGCATAGCAAAAAGCAGCTCTTTGTTGATGAAAATCTTTCCTTTTTTCAACCGCTCAGAGACGTTAAGCTATGATTCACGCAAATGTAGCAGTGAGCGTGCGGCCCTCCATCCCAGAGGAGGACAAACACTGTAATTAACATGGGAAAAAGAGACAAGGGAGGGAATCTTGTCATCTCCTGCTCTGCCTCAGTGTTCCTCTCCTTATCTCTCTCCTTTCCACAGGATTACTTTCTGCCATTTTATCTCCTCTTCAAGTGGCTCAGTCAAGCCTCTTGTGCAATTTTTGATGAAAGGGTGAGGATGAGAGAGAGAAAGCGGAGGAGTAGATGAGAGCGGCGATATGTCGATACAGTCTGAGAGGAGGCCGAGATGGGGATCGCTGACCTCTGGCCATGTCAGGCCATTCCCATGGGAGCACAGATAGCATTACTTGCATATTTGCTTGCACATTACCCCTCTAATCCCCTGTGAACATGAACTACTGGGTCAGCATCGGATAAGAGCTAGCTAAAGTCATAAAACCACAGCTATAAAAGTAGTTACCAGCTTCACATAATATGGTCAATTTAGTTTGATCTTTTCTGATTGGTCAAGGTCCCAGAATGGCCTCAAACCTTCGGCTCAGCAGTTTCCCCGTGCAGCTGCGCTATTTGATGAATTAGTGTTACAGCATACAGATACTATATTAATTTAAATGTGAAGGTGTGTGTGTATGAGATTTTGCACTCTGGTATCAACTGCATCCATTCTCTCTGGGAAACTTGTCCATCCAAACTAGAGGGAGAACATTCTTATGCAAACATTATTACCTAATCTTACCATAAGAGTCATTATCAACGCTGTAATGCAAAAAGAAGCTCTATTTTCTTATCTACTGTAGGAGTTCAAGACGAATCTATTGTACTTCCACCACAACGTCTTTTCTGGTCGCTGCATTTGTTGGTAAAATGTGTGAGAAACTGATGACGGGGAAATGCGGAGATTGTGTTTCCATATTTCAAGTCTTAATTCCCCCGCCACGGCCGTATCAGTCCTACTGGAAGTTGTTATGAGTTTGAAAAATGATCTGAGAATAAGCGCGGGGTCTTGTAGACGCAATGCCGGTAATGAATAGCTTCTTCCTGATCTGCTCATGGTTGTAAAGTAAGAAAGATAGAGATTACAGAAGGAATGGTTATTTTCTGGATCTCTCTGCAAATAATGACTGGTAAAACATGAAGTGGTTTTACTAACAGAACTCCATATTGTTTGTAGCCCCCCTCTACAGTGGAATCTGGCCCTGTGAAACCACAATATAGAATCTGTTAAAATTATTTGTTGATGATAGGGCTCTAAGATGGTGACTAGAAATCATACTGAGATATATCTTCAGAATGGTACATTCACACTTTGAATTACCATACATATGGAAACAGCTTTCTGTTCATAATGTATTCCTCGGAACTTGAGAAATATGTTTTAAATACTGTTGGGGAGGAAATGAAATGCTAATATGTTGGGATTTGTTGTGCAGTCATTCTGCGATGCATCAGACCACTTTGCTTAGAAAAGATGCCTGAAACATCTTCCCCCCCCAAAAAAACAGCCTTCTATTGCAATTTAAACTTTGCAGCAGTCAATACGGCTATTTAGACACTTCCTCAATTAATTGTGCAGCCCTGTTTATTTTCTGCCGCTGCTTCTCGAGTATTTACACTCTTCTGTCTCTGGAAGATTTGAAAGTGTCTGCAAACAGGCGACATATAAAAATATCCCTGTCTAGGAGAATTGGTGAATTTATGCCCCTGTCTGCCAAAGTGAATAAGGTCGAAAGCAAAGTGCTGCAGAAGAAATTCTCCTCACTTTAAGGCAGGTTAAGAGGAACCCTTTTTCATCTGCTTACCTACTCCTCCATTTTGTCTCCTACAACCTGATCCACCTGCACACCTCGTCTTCTGTTTGTGCATCAGCTTCTCTCTCTTCTTGCTAGCTGTGAAGTCATCTGAACAAAGATCAATAGCATTCATCAAAGCACCTCTCTTTCTCTCTCTCTCACACACTCCCGCACACACACACACACTGAGCTCTAAAGGCAGTCTGTCTCTCTGACCCTCTCTGCTTACAGACTGGCATTCATAGAGCAGGCAGGAATA